GTCCCAGCTACTTGGGAGGCTGAGGCAGGAGACTCGCTTGAGCCCAGGAGTTCGAGGTTGCTGTGAGCTGTGATGCCATGGCACTCTACCCAGGGGGATAGCTTGAGGCTCCGTCTCAAAAAAAAAAAAAAATTCTTTTAGTTTTAAAGTATTGGGCCTTTAGAGGAAAGGAGAGATGTATACTTACCATGTTGAACTAGTAACAAAAGAATCCTAAGTCTGCATGGACTTTTTTTGATAATTTTATGTTAGGAGAAAATTCTGGTTTGTTCCTAAGCTTGAATAATTCTCCCTGTGAAATAATCTCATTCATTCATTCATTGTCCCAGGGAGTGGCCTCCGTGTTGGGGACTGGCCTCATCTCAGAGAGCACCGAGTCTATTATTGAAGAGAGACACAAACACATATTTATATAACTCAGTGTCACAAATATGGTGATGAGACTGTGTACAAATGGTGTGGGAGTACAGAGGAAGAGATGCCTATTTTCATATGGGAGATAGATGAAGATTGCATAAAAAAGAAAATATTCAAAGTGGATGTTCAAAGTTAGAACAAGATTCACCAGGTAGGGAAGAGCAGTCCCACAAGAGCAAACAGCATGTTCCCAGGCTAAGGTGAGCCCACAGCAGGGTGAGGGCTCAGGAGGAACTTGAATGTAGCTATAAATATGAGGGGAGAAGCGTCAGGACACGAAGCTGGGATGGTAAGTGACAGAAAGATTATGAAGGCCCCAGTGCACTGTGCCCTGAAAATCTGGTTTGGGAGGCAAATCCTGGACAAGTTGTGATAGAGTTGGCTTGTAAATTCAGATAATATCACGTCCTATCAAGTCATTTACTTCTAGTGATAAATCAACCCTTCGAAAACATTTTTCTCCTTGCTTACATTTCTTCATTATTCTATGTATTTATGATCCACGAACCAAATCACAGCACTTGTGTGAGTTGAATTGAGACTGAAAATGCACTTAATGTTTGGGGATTTTAAAAGTTTTCTTACAAAGACTTAAGAAGTATTGAAATGGTCTAAAAGGACAAAATCATAGTGATTTTGTCTTCACAGATGGTAACGCCTTTTGAAAATGGCATATTCATTAGCCAACACCTATTTTTCTGAAACTTGAAATTTTCTTTGTTTTGTAGTGGACGGAAGACTGTAGAAAATCGACCTATCCTCCCTCTGGACCAACGTGAGTAAACATCAGCTGATCTAAACTCACTTTGACCTTGGTGGAGATTTTTGCCTATGTAACGAGCTCTCATAAAATTATGACAGTGAATAAAAACTGAAGTCATGTCTTCTATCCCGGACAAAGATTTTTTCCCTCAGGCTTGTATGTTATGTATTTGCATAAGATCTTAGACAAATATGAAAATACTCCATAATTAACATGTCCATTTCTGGCCTATCAGAGTCACAGGAAAGAACAGGATTTCCATGTTCTACTAAATTCTTCTGCTATTAAGCATTTTTCTCATCTTTGACAAATGCAAGGCCTGTAGTTGAACTGACCTCTGATTCACTGTGGTGTCAGGATATAACCCCCAAATTATATTGGGACAAAAAAATCATAAGACTTCTTATGTGAAAGATTCTGGAAATAAGCCTTGATATAATAAAACTACTGAGGACAAAACAGGATTCGAGCACATAAAAGAAGGGCCAATGCCATGTTTTAATGTGTTTTAAAATTGATATTTTTAGTCTAGATTTTAGCCTTTCCAAATGCTTAGTGATTAAATGAGCCTATGAGAAAAACATATCTTACAGGCCCAGGGGGTGTCGGGGAACCAGTTACATATATGGGAAAGAAGAAAGAGGTATAGGGAATGGTCTTCCCTCTCACTGAAAGTAGTCTGAGAGGGTAGGGGGGATAGAGCACACGCTAACCAGTGACAGCAAGACGACATTGTCAGTTTTTGTAACATTCCAAATTAATTGTACTGCTCATTTAAATTATGTATTCTAAATAGCCTCTATCCCAGATACTGTGATACTGTAATAAACTAAATTCTTTCAACTTAACTTACCTTTATGTAGAAAGAGGTGACTGTTTGGCAGAATATAACTTAGAGATAAGCAGTTTCTATGGTCTTCTAAAACCAGTGCACCCTCCAGCTCTTTCTTTAATGGTCTGCTCCCTAAAGGTCTTCCTTTCTTTCTTTCTTTCTTTTTTTTTTTGAAAGAAAATTTCACTCTGTCACCCTGGATAGAGTGCCATGGCATCATCATAGCTCACAGCAACCTTGAACTCCCAGACTTGAGCAATCCTCTTGCCTCAGCAGCGTCCTCTATGATGCCTGGCTAGTTTCTTTCTACTTTATTCTATTTTTAGAGACGGGTCTTGCTCTTGGTCAGGCTGGTCTCAAATTCTTGAGCTCAAGCGATCCACTGGCCTCGGCCTCCCAGACTGCTGGGTTTACAAGGCGTGAGCCTCTGCACTGACCTGGTCTTTCTTTTTGTCGTCACTGGCATCATACTGGCCTTCAGTACCTTACTGATTACATCTCTTGCTTGGTCTCAACTGCCCCAATTCATTGAACGTTTTATGAGTATCTTCCTCACTTAAGGCCTTTGTCTGCTCCCTCCACTTCCCATGTGTCTGAATTGATTGCCCTGCAAACTGTAAACCATCCCTGATTCAGCACTTACTGGCTGCATGTTGCCAAGTGTGTGTGTGCGTGCATGTATACACACACTTACACCTAAACAAATGCACATTTATCCATACACATCAGGTATGTTTCTTTCCTTGCATTGGTATTTCTACAGGATTTCTTTCTACCTCGCTCACCTGGTTTCCTACACAAAAGTCCTTTGCTCTGATCCTTCTCCCCTCTCAACTTTAAATGGATCTTGAGATCTGGGAGAGAAGTGTGGTGTTTATGCACCTTTGAGTCACAAATAGTCTGCCTGTACCTGTGAGGTCGTCTACTTCAATCGAGAGCATGGATTTTGACAGCGTGCACGGGCAGTTGTGAAGAAAGAAAAAGATACCTGTCTAGCCGGCACGACCGGTCAAATCTATACTGGAGATAAAGGAGCTGATAGCCAGATCACCCCTGTATCCTCATGAACCCCATTAAGCATTTCTTTCCCACTGCTCACTGGGTGCTTGGCATGTGTTCCCTCATTTGTATATGTCGTGTTGTGTCACTTGATCTAGTTTCCAAGCCACCTGGGGAGCCAGCTGGGGCCAGGCAATATGATTGATGTTATAATAATGTAGACATTGCAGATGCTAAGTCTTAAGAATGATTAAATGATATTTGTTGTTTGTACGAAAGTAGGAAAATATCCTGTGGTAACTACTACTGATTGAATACCAAGGCTGCTAAGTATTTCTTGCATATTTCCTGTAATCCTCCCTGCTCTCATAAGGTCAGTACTCTTATTTCTGTAGGAAATTGAGATACAAAGGTTCAATCCTGAGATACTTTAGAAAACTGTTTAAGGAGAGATAAAAAGTGGGGTAGTGGCTAAGCTTTAGTTGTTACAACAATTTTGTCGATTAGATTAACAGTTCTCTCAAAAAAATCCTGATTAGTGGAGGTTTTATTATGGTGAGGTTTCGAGGGTCTTGTCAACCTCACTTCATTATAATCTATTATAGTGGTGAAAGTAAAATCCTTTATTTTTTCTAAAATCCTTGATCCTGTCTAAGACTCTGGACTGAAAAAGAATCAGGCGTTTATGGCAGATATAATTTGTGGCATGGTTTGGGATTGGTGGTTGGATGTTATGAAGGGAAAAGCAGCTGATTGGAGATCATAGGAAGAACACTTATCTGTGACCCACTGTTTTATCTTTGCTGTGAGACACAGAAATCCAACTATATACATGTGGGAAGAGAAGGGGAGGTTGGTAGCACCTGCCTGTAATAGGGGGGACAATAATAACTTATTGTATACTTACCTGGCAGGGGAGATACCATGATCATGAAGATGGTTTTCCCAGGGCGAGGCTTTTCCATTGCACTCCAGATGTGCTGACCCCCGCGATTTCCCCAGATGTGGGAAACTCGACTGCATAATTTGTGGTAGTGGAGGGACTGTGTTCACGCTTTCCCCTGATGATGGAAAAAAGGAGATATTTATTAAAAAAAATAACTTATTATGGGACAAATTTTACACATGAAGTTATAGTCAGAAATGGAATTAATTAGTTGTAATGAAAAGCTTTTTTCTAGGATACAAGTTTTATAGTATTTCATGTAGATATCAGCTCCTAAGAAAGAAGGGAACTTGAAAGTACATTGAGAAGAACAAAATTTAACTGTGATATTGTTTAAACTTAGGTTCTAAAATGAAGTGGCTTTGCTTTGTTATCTAAATCATAACATAAGTGGCTGCTGGTTACCAGTTTCATAAAACCTTAGATATACATACACAAGTGCCAAGCTCAGCAGCATTATGTAGGGAACCAAGCAATTGTTCATTGCAGTAGAAGCATAAATAGAAACACAGTTCATGACTTTTAGGAGCTAGCCCATCCCCAGCTATATACATCAGTCTAAATAACATTTTAATTTAGGAGACTGATAGCCTAGTAGCACACCCCAGAATACACCCTATACTTTCCTAGAGCAAATCAGTGGATCAGATGATGGCCATCTTTAGGCAAAGGTTTAAGGTGATAAATCACTGAATGCCACACCCTTAAAAATTATTTCACTGCAATAACGAGTGCCAGAAGGTAATGTTCCTATAGTGACAGGATTACTGTAGTGGCCAGAAATATGGCCCAGCTCCACTGATGAGGGAATGGGCACTGCTAGGTCCTCATAGTAGAAATTGCTGTTAAAGAGTAAGGAATTGGAGAATGGACCTGATAGAATAGTGCTTGGGCTTGGGCTTAGTACAGCAGAAGAATGAAAAGAGAAGATGTATGTGGTAGGGAAGATTAGGATGGCTGAGAGAATCGTGGAGGTTCCTGAAGTGGATCAGGGAAAGCTCATACGTGTTGCCGCTTAGGGCTCAACAGGTGATCTTACTGAAGCCAACAGTGGAGAGAAATTTTTGGCAATAATTTGGTGAGACTGTCTGAGAGAGAATTCTGAAACCTGGAAACCAGTTGGTGAGGTATCCAGAGCCTACACTAAATCTTTGCCAATATCAGGAGAGGGGGACAAAGGGGGTGGGTGTTTTCCATCAGTGACAATCAGGTTGCAGCTCCTGAACCACGGCTGTCTTCACATATGTCCAGTTCACACCAGCCTCCCTAACATGTCACTTCTTGGCCAAGATTTCTGCGCCTGGTTATGACTGTATGTGCAACACAGAGTGGAAACATTGGGTAGAAAATGAACTTTCTTTGCAAATTTTGCTTTGAGTACCCACTTCTACACTGTTATTAAGACTGTGTCTCACGTATATCCTTATAGATGTAACTAACTAACCCCTTCAAAAAAACCACTTTCCACATTTCAAGATGATGCACCTCTCCTTACAGCTACAGAGGCCCCGTTCCATGGTACACCATCAATCTCGATTTACCACCCTACAAAAGATGGCACGAACTGATGGCCGACAAGGCACCACAGGTACGCTGTGATGCTTTAATCTCTTATTTCTGACTTTGCAGCATGTAATTGTCTTCTTAAAAGAATTCTTCATGAAGTTATCCACAAAATAGTTTAAAAGTGTGTTTTCATTACCTTTCTGCCATGTACCGTAAATCATAGTGGAAGATACTTTTCTCAAAGGTCACCAGAAAAAAAAATAATAGTAGAGGAAAAGATGTCATTTCCCTACAGCTTCTTATACTTTTTTGCAAACTTGACCTTTGTTTCTTTCCCGTCATATCATCGCCCTTCATCTAGATAATTAAGAATCAAATGTCATTTTAAAGATAAACTTGGACTCACTGTATTACTATGTTAATTAAAAATATTTTCAGACTTGGTGCCCGTAGCTCAGTGGTTAGGGTGCCAGCCACATACACCGAGGCAGGCGGGTTCAAACCCAGCTGCTGAACAATGACAACTGCAACAAAAAAATAGCTGGGCATTATGGCAGGCACCTGTAGTCCCAGCTACTTGGGAGGCTCAGGCAAGAGAATCGCTTAAGCCCAAGAGTTGGAGGCTGCTGTGAGCTGTGATGTCACAGCACTCTACCAAGGGTAACATAGTGAGACTCTGTCTCAAAAAAAAAATTTGTTTTTTTTCAAATTGCACTCCTATTGTAGTTATATGTGGGCAAGTCAAAAGAACCCAATGTTTTTATTCTAGCAATATTAATCTTAAATCTCAACACTTTTTAATGTCTTTTATTGAGTATTTTATTTATTTATTTTTCAGCTAAAGGTTATAGTGAATTCCCTGAAGAATATAGTAAATGCATTTGTGCCAAGTGGAAAAGTTATGCAGATGGTGGATCAAAAGTTGGTAAGAAATATTATTTTCCACAATAAATTTTAAGCACACACACATATACATATGCATACAGAATTCAGAAAATGCTCTGGCATTTATTGAAAGACATAATTCAGCAACTCCTCAAGAACTTTGACAAATTTGCGTTTATTGTAGATCACTGTCAAAACTTCAGAGGGACTTAAATTCTGGGGCTTCATAGTATTAGGATGACAGCCTGGCACATTTTGCCCTTTAATGTTTTTTAAAAGTATGGACTGTTTTATAGAGCAGCGGGTAGCTGGACATATTTCATCTGGGAGTATGACATTTCTTGCCCTTTATATATATTAAGGTGTGTAAGTTCACTATTGAAAAGTTGTTTTTTTTTCCTTAAGTATTTTGTGTGAGGCTATTAGGGCACCTAGAGATCTTTCTAGATATGACTGAATGATTTACTCAGGCAAGCCCTGTACTGTGTGGAGTACCTTGGTAGCTCTCATTCTTGAAACTCACTTGGGTTGAGTTTTTCTTATGCCTGTGCAATGGCCAAACCATTTTAGTTTCTCTTCCTGGTCACATAGAAAGACTTCATTTCTCAGCCTCTTTATTATTTCTGTGGAACCAATAGAACACTTAGGACCCAGTCCCTAGACACCCCCCACCAAAGGGATCCTCATGGCCTTCTAGGCAGATTTTGGGCACTGATGCCGTCTTGGGTTGGGCAATTTTTTTGTTGTGGGGTTGTCCCATGCCTTGCAGAATGCTTAGCCACATCCCTGACTATTGCCCTTTGGATGCCAGTAACAAGCCCTTCTGGTGGGACAGCCAGAAATGTCCCTAGACATTGCCAAATCTCTCCTGGGGGCTCCCCTGGTCAAGAATCATTATCACAGAGGCTGTGCGCTCTGGGCATGTCCTTCCTATAACACGTGTACTGGCCAAGCTCCAACCTGGTGTTCCTCCTGTCTGTGCTCTTGGAGACTTAGATTAAGGCTATCCTTTCTGTTCGTACTCAACCAGGCTTCCCCAAAATAAAAAATGTTGGTAGAAGCAAAAGGGGAAGAGATCTCCACATACTCTACATGCCCTAATTTCTGCTCTGCTCTGAATGGTAGTTGGGAGGGCAGCATTGCAAAGGCTTTGGGTGCCTTGGAATCAGACATTGAGTTTTAAGGCTGGTTCAGTCACATACACTAGCTTTGTGTTCTTGGGCAAGTTTCTTAACCTGTGAAACTTCAGTTTTCTCATCAGGGACGTGATATTTACTAATAGTGTCTATTTCATACCATGGTTGTAAGAACTAAATGACTTACTGTATATAAAGCATAGTGCCTGGATGTTGTGGGTTTAATACATGTTCATTAAGTCACACTTGTTTGTTAAGTTGGCTAGAACATTCTACTTGTGCAAGTCTTTGAATTCCTAGGGAAAAAAATATGCTTAGTTAGGTCATATTACCAAGTTGGTGAAAAATGGGCCTTCCGAATTTTTTTTTTTTTTTTTTTTTTTTTTTGAGACAGAGCCTCAAGCTGTCCCCCTGGGTAGAGTGCCGTGGCATTACAGCTCACAGCAACCTCCAACTCCTGGGCTCAAGCGAGTCTCTTGCCTCCGCCTCCCAAGTAGCTGGGACCACAGGCGCCCGCCACAACGCCCGGCTATTTTTTGGTTGCAGCCGTCATTGTTGTTTGGCGGGTCCGGGCTGGGGATCCGAACCCGCCACCTTAGGTGTACGTGGCTGACGCCTTAGCCGGTTGAGCTATAGGCGCCGAGCCGGCCTTCCGAATTTTAAGCACATTATTTCAGCAAAAGGCTGTGAACTTATATTGTGATCTAGACATTAGTGAGTAGTTGCTATTAAGAATGAAAGTATGACGCCCACCACTGGATTTGCTCAGCGTCTGTTGTTTGCTAACAGAATTCAGTTAATGCATCTTACCCCAAGATCTGCCTTTAACTATGACAATGTTTCTGTGATGGAATAAAGTACTGCAGGGTTGTTGTGTGGGAAGGAAATAAGGGCGTATTTCACTGGCAGGAGGGTGAATTTGAGGGGAGATAAGAAGAGCTTGTTATGATGTTCTTGTGTTGTGGGTCATGTTAGTTTCATCCAGGTGGAAGTTTTATAGTCCCACCTACTCTGGAGAATGGGAAGAATATAGGCTGGGAAAAACAATCTAAGAATCATAGGTCTGTAGATAAGGACCTAATAATTGAGTATTACATAGAATCTTTCAAGTATATATGATATAAAAATGTTTTAGAAAAATTGCTCTTGGTTGGAGTGATGGCTTACACCTATAATCCCAGCACTTCGGGAGGCTGAGGCAAGAGGATCCCTTGAGGCCAGGAGTTGGAGACCAGCCTGAGCAACACAGTGAGACCCCTTCTTTACCAAAAATAAACAAATAGAAAGATTAGCCAGACGTGGTGGCATTTGTCTGTAGTCCCTGTGGTCTACTTGGGAGGCTGAGGCAAGAGGATCTCTGGAGCCCAGTTTGAGGTTGGACTGAGATGTGGTGATACCATTGAACTCTAGGCTGAGCAACAGAAAAGTAATGATTATCACCTATTTTGGTAGCAATAAGGGGAACAAATTTTATGCCCCAAACCAGATCTCACTCCATGCATGCTTTTAGGTTGAATGCCTGTTAATTTTTTTGTTTTACAGCCTGGTCTACTTGGCAACTTTCCTGGCCCTTTTGAAGAGGAAATGAAGGGAATTGCAGCTGTTACTGATATACCTTTAGGTAAAGTTCACTTTGTAGCTTTTAAAAAATTTAATAGAACACTTAAAAATATTTCTATTAAGATGTGAGATATATATATATATATATATATATTTGGTAAAGCATACAGATCTTAAGTACAGCTCACTGAAGTTTTAAAAATGCATAAGAGCGGCTGGGCGCCTATAGCTCAACCGGCTAAGGCGCCAGCCACGTACACCTAAGGTGGCAGGTTCGAATCCCCAGCCCGGACCCGCCAAACAACAATGACGGCTGCAACCAAAAAATAGCCGGGCGTTGTGGCGGGCGCCTGTGGTCCCAGCTACTTGGGAGGCTGAGGCAGGAGACTCGCTTCAGCCCAGGAGTTGGAGGTTGCTGTGAGCTGTAATGCCACGGCACTCTACCCAGGGGGACAGCTTGAGGCTCTGTCTCAAAAAAAAAAAAAAAATGCATAAGAGCTTTTAATCACAGCTCAGATCAAGATAGAGAATAGCCTAGCCCTCGAGAATGCTCCCTCCTGCCCCTTCACAGACAATTCTGCTGCCTCAAGTAACTGCTGTTCTGACTTTACCATAGATTAGTTTTGCCTCTTCTTGAACTTTTCATAAATAGAACTCAGCAATATGAACTGTTATGAGTGGTTTCTTGTCCTTGTTATTATAGGTAACATGCTATTGTGTGCAGAAGATATTTGGGTTATTTGCAGATTGTAGATATTAATAAAGTAGTTAGTAATATAAACATTCTAGTACATGCTTTTTTTTTTCTTTTTTGCAGTTTTCGGCCGGGGCTGGGTTTGAACCCGCCGTCTCTGGCATATGGGGCCGGTGCCCTACTCCTTTTGAGCCACAGGCGCTGCCCCCAGGCTAGAGTTCAATGGTATCACCACATCTCAGTCCAACCTCAAACTGGGCTCAAGAGATCCTCTCGGCTCAGCCTCCCAAGTAGACCCCACAGGGACTACAGACAGATGCCACCATGTCTAGCTAATCTTTCTATTTATTTATTTTTTGGTAAAGGCGCCACCCTCTAGTACATGCTTTTTGATGGGCACATACTTCATTTCTCTTGCGTATATACCTCGGAAGTAACTATTGGATTATGGGCTAGCTGTATATTTAGCCTTGTAGATTCTGCCAGACAGGTAGGTTTTGAGGTGATTGTATCAGTTGACAATCTGCATAATAAGAGGGTTCTCATTTTCTCCATCTGATAGTTACAACGAGATAGTGTCAGTCTTTATTGGAGCCATTTTTTTTTGAGAGTCATGTCCCATTTTAGTTTTAATTTGCATTTCCCAGATGGCTAATGAGATGAATTTAATGACTGTTTTCTTTTTTGTTTCTTTCAGAGAAGGGTAAATTGTTGATTGAGGTCTTTTGCCCAGTTTTGATTAGTTTGAAGGAATTCTTTATGTATTCTGAATAGAAGTTTGCCAGATAAATGTATTCCAAGTGTCTTCTCCCAGTCTATGACTTGCATTTTTATTCTCTTAACTGGTGTCTTTTGATGAGGAGAAATTCTTGATTTTAATGAAGTCTAATATCTCAATTTTCTCTCTTTTTTTTTTTTGAAACAAAGTCTCACTTTGCCACCTATAGTAGAGTATCATGGCATCATGGCTCACAGCAACCTCAAAGTCTTGGGCTCAAGCAATACTCTTGCCTCAGCCTCCCAAGTAGCTGGGACTACACACACCACCATGCCTGGTTAGTTTTTCTGTTTTTAGTAGAGACCAGGTCTTGCTCTTGCCTAGGCTGGTCTTAAACTCTTGAATTCAACCAGTCCACCCACCTTGGCCTCCCAGAGTGCTAGGATCACAAGCATGAGCCACTGTGCCCGGCTCTGTCTTCTCTTTTATAAATACTAGTTTTTATATAATTTGAGAAATTTTTACCTACTTCAAAAGGTATGAAAAAAACTCTTGTATATTTTCTTCTAGATGTTTTATGTTTACTTTTTATATTTACTACGATCTATCTTGAATTAATTTTTGTATATGGTATGAGTTAGGGGTCAGGTTTTTCCTCATATGGTATACCCAATTGATTAACCATTTTTTAAAAAGACTATCTTCTCTCAGTAAATTAAGAGGTGCCTCTGATATAAACCAGGTGACTATATACATGGTTCTGTTTGGGGACTTTCTGGTTTTTTACCTGTTTACCTTTCCTTGTGTCAGTAATATGCTACCTCAGTAGTGAAGCCTTTTAAGTGAGTCTTACAGTGAGGCAGTATAATCCTTACAGCTTCGCTTTTCTTCTCAGTTCTCTTGGCTGTTCTGCCCTTTTGTATTTCCACGTACATTTTAAAATCAGCCTGTCAACTTTGACAAAAGAGCCTACTATACTTTGAATGAGATTGTCATACTGAGTTTCACAACCCATGAATAATAGAAATCTCTACATTTATTTCGGTTGTTGGTTTCTCTGAGTATTATTTTTTATTTTCAGGGAGAAAGTCTTATGTATCATTCATTCAAATTATCCTTAGGTATTGATGTTTTAGGAAACTATTTTTTTTAATTTCACTAATTTATGGCATTAATGAAAGGATTTTCCCTACCACTGCCCCCCAAATTTTATTTGTAAGCTACCAAACAGAGTCATTATTTTAAGTAGCCAGTACTTAATCATCAGCTTTATAAGAGAGATAATGGAAAATTTCTGAAAATCAGAAGTGCTCACCAGCGAAAGCAGCCAGTTTGTTGTTTGTTTTGCTTCTTTTTAAAAAAATGACTTAACAAATATTCAGTGTACTGGAAATATAGAGAAGGTGCCAAAAAATGTATGCACATTTTACAAAATGAAAAAACTGTATTAAAATTGCAATATTCAGGCTCAGCGCCTGTAGCACAGTGGTTACAGTGCCAGCCACATACACTGATGGTGACAGGTTTGAACCCGGCCCAGGCCAGCTAAACAACTGCAACAAAAGAATAGCTGGGCATTGTGGCAGGCACCTGTAGTCCCAACTACTTGGGAGGCTGAGGTAAGAGAATCGTGTAAGCCCAGGAGTTGGAGATTGCTGTGAGCTGTGACGCCATGGCACTCTATCAAGGGCGATGTAGTGAGACTGTGTCTCAAAAAAAAAAAAAAATTGTAATATTCAATATGTACTGAAAACAAAAGATGAATACAAGTTACGTTGAGCACCTCTTGAAGTTGCAGGGGTCAAACAGGCCTTGAGTACTACAAATTTAGTGCAGTTTTTTCTTGGCTTAAAATGTGTATGCCATTTTTTTTTTAATCATCTGTTTTTGCAGCCTTTATGAGAAGCAAGTCTAATTCCTTTATTATATAAATAAACTTTTGTAATAGCAAGTCAATACCAATGTAAATATGTCAAGAATTGATTAAGAAGATTAATAGATTTACACAGTAAACGGTAAAAATTATAAAAAGTTCTCCAAAAATAGAAATTAAATGGAAATAAGTACTAGAGTGGGTGGGGAGAAAAACATAAGTTTAACGTATTAACATTAAAATAGGACAGAGATAAAATGTGCTGAATACTTTTGAATTCGATGCTAAATGTCATTCTACAGTTTAAGGAAAATATTCAAAATATAAAATGTTCTACAGTGGATTTTCTTGGCAGCTCTACATTAATTTTAATAATTATTCTTTAATCACCTTTCTCACCTTAGAAATGTCAGTCATGCTCTAAAAACCTGAAATGTCAGTCATGCTCTAAAAACCTTAGAAATGTCAGTCATGCTCTAAAAACACACTTTCCTCAGACATCCAAGAGCCAGATGTATTAAATTCAAATATAAATATTTGAACTTCTTAAAGAAAATTTAAAGTAAAGCATATTGATTAAAAATGTATTTATTTTTCTGAGGCTGAGTCTCTGTCATCCTGAGCTAGAAAGCCCTGGCGTCAGCCTTGCCTCATAGCAACTTCAAACTCTTGGGTTCCAGCTATCCTCAGTCTCCTGAGTAGCTGGGACTACAGGCACCTACCACAACACCCAGCTAATTATTCTACTTTTAGTAGAGATGGGGTCTTATGCATCATTCATAAATTTTCCTTGGTGAGGCTGGTCTTGAACTCCTGAGCTCAAGTGGTCCTCCTGCCTCGGCCTCCAGAGTGCTAGGATTATGGGTGTGAGCCATCGCACCCAGCCTGATGAAGAACTTAGACATTAGGTTGTAGGACGATCCCAACGTGCCTGGATGTTCAGCTTGCTCCGCAGCTGCCTCTTTGATGACTTGTTTCATCCTGAGTATGGAGGACAGGCTGGTGGAGGAAACCAAACACCCAGCCAGCTATGCAGGCACACCCCAGTTGGCCACAGCACACACTCACACAGTGAAAATGGTTAAACTGGCTTGGTGCCTGTGGCTCAAGTGGCTAAGGCACCAGCCACATAAACCTAAGGTGGCGGGTTCGAATCCAGCCCAGGCCCGCCAAACAACAAAGATGGCTACAACCAAAAAATAGCCGAGCATTGTGGTGGGCACCTGTGGTCCCAGCTACTTGGGAGGCTGAGGCAGGAGGCTCACTTGGGCCCAGGGGTTGGAGGTTACTGTGAGCTATGATGTCACAGCACCCTACCTAGGGGGACAGCTTGAGGCTTTGTCTCAAAAAAAAAAAAAAAAGAAAGAAAATGGTTAAACTTCTTAAAACAAATTTTTCCTTATACTGTCGTCGTCCTATATATATATATATTTTTTTTTTTTTTGAGACGGAGCCTCAAGCTGCCCCCCTGGGTAGAGTGCCGTGGCATTACAGCTCACAGCAACCTCCAACTCCTGGGCTCAAGCGAGTCTCCTGCCTCTGCCTCCCAAGTAGCT